CTTTTTTTTTTTTTTTTTTTTTTTTTGAGATAGATTTTTGCTATAGGGTGTAAGTAGTTGCTGGAGAGACAGAAAGCGAAAAATCACTCCCTAGGAGCATGGCCATGCCACAATCACTTCTCTGCCATTCTCCTCTGGGGATTTTGGGCATGTGTGCACATATGTCCGGTGTGTGTTTCAAGCCACCAGGTCTGGAATTGGAACCACAGTTGACTAGAGGGAGTCCGGAAAAGTGTGGAAACATGCTGTAACATAATTTATTATTTGTGTCTATTTCCAAGGTTTCTTTTGCTTTTATAGAAAAATTAAAAACTTTTTTTTTTCTTAAAATTTGCTGGAGGGTGTGTATGTGCACTGGAGAGAGAGGAGGAAAGCAGTAAGGCACCCACCCTGGGGCACAATCTCGCCATGAGCCCTTCTCCGTTTCCCCGCTAGGATTTTGGGCATACTTGCACACGTGCCCAGTGCGTTTTTCAAGCTGCCTGGTCCAGGGTGCAAACCGCACATTTAGCCATGTGGGATCCAGCTACCTTAACCACCATACCACTGCTGGAATTTCTCTTGCATTTATGTGTTGTAGTTTTAGGATAACTTAACATTCTTTTTAAAGATTGACATGGTATCATAAGGATTTTCTCATACTGTATAATCTTAGTGGTAATCTTAGTGGTCATTTGAGTAGATGTGCTACAATTTACTTACCCATTCTTCTATGGTCTGACACAATAGTTAACACAATTTGTTTTCAAAGTACATTTTCATGTATTTTACTTTTTCTTTCACTTGAGCTCTTTTCCCAAGACCAATTCCTTGGAGAGAAACTGCTAGACCAATGGGTCAATCCTTTCTGATCATTGATATCATTTAATATCAGATTCATGGTTAGAAATGGGAGTGCTGGCTGAATCTGAGCCATATGAAGTCATCTTGGCATAGACCTTTGAAGGTATCTTCCTGACATATCAATTTATTGCCTATAATAATGTTAATTAGAGGTTTATTTGCTTAATGCCTTGCCTTTTTGGCAGCCTCTGTAATTGTCATAATGGTAAATGTGGTTAGGCCTGGTGTATGACCCCATATCCATTTGAGATTTATACTCCTTGAGTTGTAATAGTGTTCAGTGTACACTTTAAAACAAATTTACAATAGAATATTATTCAGCCTTATTTTATGATTTCTTATTCACATTTAATTGTACATTTCTATAGAGTACAATATGTTTTTTCACAGTATGCTCAGTGTGTATTTTTTTTGTGGGGGGGAGAGGTTTGTGCTATAGGGCATGTGTGCTCGCTAGACAGAGAGAGACAGAAAGCGAAAAATCACCTCCTGGTGGGGGGATGGCCACACCGCAATCCCTTCTCCTCCATTCTCCTCTCTGGATTTTTGAGCACACATGCACATGTGCCCGGCATCAGTTTAAGCCACTGGATCCAGGACTTGAACCGCAGTCGACTCTATGGGAGTCTAGTGACATAGCCATTACACCAACTGCTGGTCCTGCTCAGTGTGTATTTTAATGGTTGAAATAATCATAGTTTTATTTAATTCTTCTGAAAAATAATCATTTGCTAGCATTCAAAAAAAACCTCAGAGAGAGCTGACAGGTGGCATAGTGGTTAAAGGCACTGGATTCCCACATGACCTACCACAGTTCAAGTCCTGGACTTGGCAGCTTGCTTTCTCACTTTTCCTTTCTCTCTCTGGTCAAATTAAAAAAGAATAATAAATGGAATTAAATAAATAACAATTCCTTAAAAACAAACAAACACACAAAACTCAGAAAACGCAATTGGATTGAATGGCAGAGGTACAGAAAGCAGAGGCATGCACAAGGGGAAGTGGGTGATGTGGGTGTAGCCTTTGTCCGATTACCTGCTGCAATTCTGACCGGCACACTAATCCGTCAGGCTGCACGTGTGCACCTAGCCTGATAGTCCCGATTTACTAACCTGATTTCCAGGGCCGTGTACAGCACCACCTGTCACAGATGTAGGTGCCAAGCTAGCGCACCTCTTCCAGTTGTAATCAGAAGGGTCCTAACCACCTGTGCCATTTTTGCCTTTGTCTTTCTTCAGCTTCACCAGCAGACCTTGAACCCTGAGGCAGTAACCTGAAGTCAGTGCTGTGGTCTGGCCTATGCAGAGACCTTCATCTCCCATCACTTAGCTCCTTGCCCCAGAACCTCGATAGGCAACTCCTCATCCTTAGGCAAAGTGTGTATCACTTGAAGCCAATATCCCATTATATATTGATATTTTAGAGATATCAAACTTCATAGGTGACTTCAGGCCCAATGTCAGATTTGTTGGTGAGCTGTTTTGAGCATGGGTGTTTGATTTTCCCTCATCTTACACCCTGTTAAGTGTCACATTACCCATACTTTGCCTAAGCCCACTCGTCCTTCCCGTTGGTGAAAGCTTCCAGTTTGGCTCACAGCTGCTCGGGTGCAGCTCTTCTGTTCCCACCCATCTACTGGCTGCTTGCTCTGTCTTCTGTACTCAACATCCAAGAACGGGCTATCTCCACCCTTTAGTTCCACTTCTCCTTGAGCCCATGGAGGTCACCTGGCAGTGGTCACAGGGTAACAATGAGGTGTGGAAGAGACACTGGTGACTATGTCATCGCATCAGTTGGGAGTGCTAGTTTGCTGTTTCTTGCCTTTTGGTTGAAAATGAACAACACTTCATCCCATTTCCTGAGCTGAGGATATGGCTCATTATGGGGGTGATTGTGGTCTTGCAGCTTAGTTACATTGCTTCCAGGTAATTACCTCTCTCATTCCAGCCTAGTGCAAAATCTCTCTACTCTAACACTATTGCTGATATGGCCAATATTTTCTTTGAGCCAGGAGTGCCCCAGGCAGTTGGGGCTGAGAAGCAGCAGCCATGCTGGGTAGGACATGTACTTACTGGCTCACTGCAGGCACTACCTAGTACACTTTTCTCATTTAGGGTGCAAAACTTTGGCCCATTGGCGTTTGAGTTTGTAATT